CCATCATGCGAGCATTGTGTTTGCTAACGGTGGAGGGAGGGCTGCACCCCGCCCGACCCCCCCCTCTTTAAAACCGTGCCAGCTAGCTTCTCAGCATATGAATCCTGTCCAAGCCTATCATGCCAGCATTGGGTTTGCAAATTGGGGGGGGCTGCGCCCCCCCCCAACCCCCCCGCTTCTTAAAGCCATGCCAGCTTGCTTCAAAGCAAATGAATCCTTTCCGAAACCATCATGAGAGCATTCCCCTCCGCTTGAAAGGGGCGGGGGGGGGGGGCTGCGCTTTTTAGCCGGGCAAGCTTGCTTCAATCATACGAATCCCTTCCAAACCCATGATGATGCGAGCATTGTGTTGCAAATGGGGGGTGGGGGGGGGCTGCGCTTTTTAGCCGGGCAAGCTTGCTTCAATCATACGAATCCCTTCCAAACCCATGATGATGCGAGCATTGTGTTGCAAATGGGGGGGGGCTGCGCCCCCCCCCCAACCCCCCCGCTTTTTTTAGCCGGCAAGCCTGCTTCAAAGCTTACGAATCCCTTCCAAACCCATGATGCGCGCATTGTGTTTTCAAATGCGGCGGTCTGCGCAGCCCCCAACCCCCTGAAAAAAGAGGAATATATGCCTGCTTTCCTACGAAAATTCAGACCTTATAGTGGAAGTTGAATTTTCCGTTTAAAAATAGAGATATAAACGTCTTCTTAGTAAAGAATCGAGAAAATAGAGCTTGTGTTATGAGACATGAACAAAAACACTTGTTGTCTACGAGTCACAGATAGAGATAATGCATGTACTCTTATGACAATATAGAGAATTAGCTTTTCATGTATTCCTCTCATGTCTTCCTCGTGAAACAAAGAGAAGATGTCTGAAAATACTGACAAAATAAAAAAACTATAGAACAATAGAGGTTTTCGCTATACAATATAGAGAAATTAGATGTTTCCTATGACAACATAGAGGAAATAGAGGCTTTCATACGAAAATATAGCGAAAATACAAAGTGTTTTCATATTAAAATGTAGAGGTCTTGATATTCAAATGTAGAGAATAGAGGTTTTCATGTTCAAATGTTAAGACAATGGAGGTTTGCCTATTCAGAGACGGAGGAAATAATGGGCTTCCTATTAAAATTGGGACAAGAGGAACAAAAACACTTTTAATTGCAAGTCACATATTGAGATAACACAGAGAATAAGTTTCTCATGTATTCCTCTCTCATGTCTTCCTCATTAAATATAGAGGAAAACTATGACGATATAGACAAAAATAGAGAGAAATAGAGGTTTTAGTTATAAAATAGAGAGAAACAGAGGTTTTCGAATTGAAGTATAGAGAAATTAGAAAAACTAGAGGTTTTCATGCTAAATGTAGAGAAAATAGAGGTTTTCATATTCAAATATAGAGAAGAAAGAGGTTTTCCTATTCAAATATAGAGGAGAGAGAGGTTTTCCTATTGAAAATTAGAGAAAATAAAGGTTTTCATAGTAAAATATAGAGAAAAAAGCAAAAACGCTCCGCAGCCGCAGCAAAAAAAAAAGGCGCCCCCACGGCACCCGCAACAAAAAAAAACGCCCACCCGCACCCGCAGCAAAAAAAAAACGCGCCCCCGCACCCGCAGCAAAAAAAAAAACGCGCCCCCGCACCCACAGCAAAAAAGCACCCGCAACAAAAAAAAAAACACTCTTACCAGGGTTAAGGTTTAGGGTTTAGGGTTTAGGGCTTCGGGCTTAGGGCTTAGGGTTTAGGGCTGTAATGCCACGACGGGCCTGACATTGACTGAGCGCCTGTGAGAGAGAGAGAGAGAGAGAGCGTTTAGGGTTTAGGGTTTAGGGTTTAGGGTTTAGACTTTAGGTGAACAAAGCCTGGGCAGCAGCCGGCAGGTTAGGCCAGGTCACACGCAGCAGTCCTCTCCAAAGACGTTGGGCCTTGTTGGACCAACCTTTAGGGTTTAGGGTTTAGGGTTTAGGGTTTAGGGTTTAGGGTTTAGGGTTTAGGGTTTAGGGTTCCCTTCCACTTATGACTGTTTGTGAAGCATGTTGCTCACTGTTGCGAGCCCCGAATCCAGAATCTGAAGCTTTGTAGGCTTCGTGCTTAGCAATCAGAAAGCCATTTCAGATTATCCCGTAGCCCCGAAGCCCGACTTAACCTTGAACCTGCTTGGTGCGTAGAACTGATAGAAAGTAGTGCAACCCCCCAGCAAGGTCCCCAGCATAGTTGCCCTCAAACCCTAAAGCCCTAAGCCCTAAACCCTAAGCCTCAAACCCTGAGCCCTAAACCCCAAAACCGGAGGTGCGCGGCAAAGTGTGGAAGGAGGTCGTGCTCTTCCGGGACTTACGTGTCGTTCAGGCCGGCTGGTGCATTGTTCACCGGGAGATTTTGTAGGGTTTTTTAGGGTTTAGGCGGGCTTAGGGTTTAGGTTTCTTTTTTTCAGGGTCTGAGCGCCTGTGAGAGAGAGAGGGTTTAGGGTTTGGGGTTTGGGGTTTGGGTTTAGGGTTTAGGGTTTAAGGTTTAGGGTTTAGGGTTTAGGGAGTAGGCGGCACTCTACAACAAGACTCCTGCAATTCTACGCCCGGGACCTAACCATGCTCTTGGGGAACCCGAGATCCATCAAACGTAGTGACGTAAGACCGGGAGCATGCCTTCAGAAACCAGGAAAGAGAGAGAGAGAGAGAGAAAAAAAAAACAAAAAAAGAAATATATATATATATATTGAGAGAGCAAGAGCCCTTTGAAGCCCTTCGGCAGAACAAGGACAAGAAGAAACAGCAACATGACCGTGAGACGACCAGGTCTTCAAGATCGAGGCCTATGGCCATCAACACTACAGGCTCGTATGTGGGAAGTGCTTTGGAGCTCCTGGGATGATTGCAATCCTGTGAGAGCGAGTTTCCCACCCGGCAGTTTCCAAAGCCCCAGGCCCGAAGAATGACTTGAGATTCGGAAAGTTTGGTGTCTAATCTAGGGTACAGGGCTCTGGCACTCAGAGGAAGCTTTCAGAAATCTGCCGTGCTCTTGTCTGGAATACATTCCGGTTCCCATAGCGATCCTAACCCTAAACCCTAAACCCATAGGAGCCATCCTAAGCCTGTAGTCTGTCAGGTCGCTGGAATACACCACGAACTCACGCTTCTGCCTCGCTGACACTTGACGGCACCGACGGGATCCGGAGGTGCCCTTGATAGTCGTATTGTGGTAAGACCATTGGCCTGTACGCACCCTACCACCCCAACCTCCCAAACTTTGCAGAACGGTTGCTGGTGAGGGCCTGAGTAGGGTACCTTCATGCACTTCGTGGATTTCGTTTTGCTCATTGAGAGGAGCCTTTCTCAGCCTTTCTCCCAACGAGGAGGCAGTCCGAAGACTTCCTTCTTCCAGCCGTATTCGTTGCTGTTTGTGTGTGTGTGTGTGCCTTGGTCGTGCGGGTTTGGACTACATTTAGCTTGAAACAGGGGTTGCGTGGGGGTTGCCCATCTTTCCAAGGAGAAGCAGCCAAGTCCAAACGATCGGGACGACCCATGGCCCGCGACTTCGCTGCAGCGATGCTACAGAACATGGGGACCAAATGAACCCTAAACGGGTTTGTCTGGTTCACCCTAAAAAGGCATTGTACTAGAGTAGTAGAGTGTATGTGACCCCAGTTTTATGCCAGAGTTCCTTCCATGCTGCCACATCATTCGCCACAACTGCTCAATGAACAAAGTTTGTCCTTGCCGTGCCACGGCATGAGACCACGCAATGCTTCTAGCAGAACACCTCAAGCAACTTACAGCTGTAGGTAACACTCAACTTCTTCCCATGGACATAAAGTCGCGGTTGAAAGGCCCGTTCCAGGCAACCCGTCCACAAAAAGCAAGTGCAGTGATGACCAACCTCTAACCTTCCAAAGCAGCACCTACACTGGGACAAAAAAGCACGGACCCCATACATGGTGCGGGTGTTGCAACGCCCCGATCCCAAACAATCCTCAGCTCTGGGTAAGCTGAAGGACTGGGGACGCTACGAGGCCGGTGCGCCAGACCTGACACTTGGCAAGCTGCTTTCGCTCGGGATTGCAGTTGGAAGTGTTGATTTGACAATTGTCAAGCTTTTGGGCTTATGACGGTTTGTGCGTACTGCAGGGTGAAGGCTTAGGCAGTGATTTACATCGCATCATGTGCCTCCTGATCGGTCCACAGTCGGAGTTAAACCCCTCAACAGAAGATTCACCCTGACTGGAGATTTGCCCCTTAACCTCAAGCAGTTCTTCGGCTGCTAGTAGTTGGCTGCTGTTGCTGGGCTTTTGCGTTCAGGGTTCAACGGTTAGGAAGTAGGGTAAATTAAAATGAGCGCAAATCCTAAAGAGATCAATTGGACCCTAAAGTGGGACTTTCAGATCCGGGTAGACTTTCAAAGACTTACAGCCTTTGCCAGCAGCCAAGGAACCTGGCTGACCGTCCGCCCAGTGTTGTGACCCGACTCACTGGTTCCCGTAGCTCTGTGCTAGCCAAACCCGAAAAACCCTAAACCATACAAACCCAACCCTGTGGTTCTGTGCTACCTTTACACCCTAAAAACCCTAAACCATATGAACCCTAATCCCTATACACCCTAAACGTATCGGACACATCTGGCATGTCTCAGCCCTTGCAAGATCAGAGCCAAACCACGCTTGCCGATGCACGTCGAGACCAGGAACGCGCACACACAATAAAGATTTAGTTTCTGCCCAACCAGGACAGGCTACAATACCCTAGCACCCCTTGAAAACCCCCTTTATAGGGTTCATCGTGGGATTATAGCACCCCTTAAAAACCCCCTTTATAGGGTTCATCGTGGGGATTATAGCACCCCTTAAAAAGCCCCTTTATAGGGTTCATCGTGGGGATTATAGCACCCCTTAAAAAGCCCCTTTATAGGGTTCATCGCGGGGATTATAGCACCCCTTAAAAAAGCCCCTTTATAGGGTTCATCGTGGGGATTATAGGGCCAAATATCCCATCTTGGAAGAGAAACGCTGGGTGAGGTGATGTCGCGGACCATTGTCAAAGATACCGTTGGTGATGGAAGCGCAGGCGCAGGCTCTGAGAAGAAAGACCCGCCCCACGACCTGAATTTGGGCGGTTGGTCAAAATTATGGTCCCCGTTTGGATCTCTATGAGAATACGGCACCCAGTATTTAAGGTACCCCAAAAAGGGATCATAATTTGGACAACAACCCATTTGAACAAGGTCTCAAAAGGTCTACAGAATTTGTTTACAGCCTTGCTCGAGCGATTCTTGTGCCGCCCGCTATTCCGGGGTTGAGTTGTCGTGGACCGAAGAAAAACAGACCCAGGGCTTGTCTCAACAATCTCGGACTTTGTTCGGGGCTTTGGGGCGTGCTATCGTCTTAGACTATACTGGAAGAGCGCAAGCACGTTTGCAAACTTATAGCTCTTGTACCTGAGACCTGAGAAAGTATGCTTAAGAGCTTCCGTGCAGATCCTCCTAACGCCCGGTTCCCGGCTCAGGATGGACGACTCGGCCGAGTGGTCCGATGGTGAGCCCAGCGATGACGAGACCGAGCAAGAGAAGAAGGAGAGAACTGCCACGTGGATTTGCGGTTTAGGGTTGAGTTTAGGGCTTAGGGTTTTGGGTTTGCAGCTTTATGGAGCTTGGGACAGGGGATCTCTACGAAGAAGCGTTCCACTTGGCTGACGCGCAATTGTTCAACCCCTTCCGGTCTTGAAATGCCAAGTCCAAAACACTCTTCCTAAAACCCGAAATAGACCTTTAACCTCAAAACATCCCAAAACCGGCTAAACCCTGCATGGCAGGACTCATACAGAACACGTTGGTTCAACTGCAGCGTTGAGCAAGTTTGAGAGACACCTCCTACCCTAAACCCTAAACCCTAAACCCTACAATAAGCCCCTCACGGGAAGCCTCTGAGGTTTGGGAGCGGTCGCAGAAGGAGGGCGAGCAATATTTGCCCAAGCGGCTGCTCAAAGGCCCAGTCCTGTGATCTTAGGGTTTAGGGTTTAGGGTTTGGGGTTTAGGTTTTAGGGGTTTAGGGCTATATACTACTATGATACCGTTTAAGGCAAAATGAGCCCTACAATGAGGGTTGCTAGGACCCGAAGTAGGCCCTTGTTTCCATTTTTTAGGGTTGGGGTTCCCTTAGAATCCCCCTAAAACCAGAAAGGGTACCCGTTTATTCTTAGGCTACTGCGGTGTGGACAGCTTTAGGGAGTTGGAAAGCTTTTGCACCTCACTGTGAGGCCTGCTTCCTGAAGGGCTCCTGCAGAAGTATTTCATCTACCAGCAGAACGAGTCACCCTGGCGTGCTGTCCGTGGCTATCCGAAGACCCCCGAGGGTGCCTAGAGCAAAGATTTTTTTTGGCCGAGGAGTGCAGGGTGGGTTTCAGGTTTCGGGTTTAGGGCTTAGGGTTTAGGGTTTGGGGTCTAGGGTCTAGGGTTTGGGGTTTAGGGCTTAGGTCCCAGGGTTCAGGGAGAGTTCGAGAGGCTCTTTCCACAGCACACAGCCTACACCTCAAAAAAGTGCCTAAACCCTAAACCCTAAACCCTAAACCCTAATCTTGAAAATTCCTTGTTTCTTCTCGTTCGTGAACCGAACGGTCATGAACTCCGATGGAGCGCTCAGTGGCTAGCATCCCTTCAGCCCCTCATCCCGGGCCCGGATGCCCCACGGTTTAGGGTTTAGGGTTTAGGGTTTAGGGTTTAGGGTTTAGGGCGAGCCCTAAACCCTAAACCCTAAACCCCCCGGAATAATCGTAAGGTGAGGAAGACAGGGATCCAGACCACATTCTCGAGATCAAGCTTGTGAAAGTCGGCAAGGTGGGGAGCGCAGGATGTCGACGAGGGTGCTGCGCAAGGATTGCAGGAAGAGGGTTGACTTACCAGGACGGGCTCTGGCTCAAAACCCAACTTTTCTACTTTTGGGCTTCTTATAAGGTAGTTTATTCTGAAAGTTTCAACTTCTATTTCCTGGGTTTTTGGGCCAGTAAGTAAACAGGGGCCTTTATAGGGCTGTTTATGGGGGTTATAGGGCCTAGTAGCCCGTCCTAGTAGGGTTTTGGATGTATAGGGTTTAGGGCAAGCACTCGTTACCGAAGCCCGGCCGTTTCAAGTAGACTTCGAGTGGTAGCATGTCATGGGATGGTGCTGGAACCTGCTTGGGGTCTCTGACAAGGCTGTGTTAGGCTGGCTGCACTGGCTTCTCTCTGCGGGAACTTTGCCCCGAAGTCCTAAAGAAGCTCAATGCCCAGGTTCCCTGCGCATGGGGGTTTAGGGTTTAGGGTTTAGGGTTGAGGTGTTTGCAAAATCCGAAAGCCAACGTGAAACTTCGCTGACACCAGAAGACTTTTAAGGTAGCCCCTCCTGCCTTCCCACTTTTTGGCTTCTCGACTTTCTGGTGTCGGCGATTTTCTGTCTTCAGAGAACCTCTTACAATGTTCATTTTAGAGAAAGTATTGACATGCCACGCAAAAGTGGAGCCACATAGAGGAGCAGGTTTCGTCCTAGTAAAAAATCTTGGTCCGGAAAACAGGTTTTCCGATCAAGCGAAAGAAATAAAGGGTTTCTCCTTATACTACAGACGAAATATAGGTTTGGCGAAAGCGTAACATCTAGAGTTCTGTCAAGACTTAAAGCGCTTCCTGTGTAAATCCAGACGCAATAAGTGTTTGCCCGCTAAGATATAGCTGTATGTGGAGGATGGAGGCATTCTTTTTTGAGGAAATGGAGGTTTACTTCTAGAAGCAGAAAGGATCAGGAGGAATAGAAGCTCTCGTCTGAAAGTACGATTTCATCTTGCAAAAGTAGACTTAAACCCTAAACCCGGCATGAATGCGCGGCCCTATAGACCCTTGAGCGTTTAGGGTTTAGGGCTTAGGGTTCTACACGTCGGCGTCTTGGGCCGCGCCAGGTGCCAGCGACTGGGCACCGAGGTGGCCTACTCTTTGTTTCGGTTAAGGGTTTTGGGTTAAGGGTTCAGGGTTTAGGGTTTAGGGTTTAGGGTTTAGGGTGATTTCCCCTCCAACAGTTACACAGGGTGACGGGAGCGAACGAAATGGACGACGTCGGCCTCCAATGGCTTCAGGGTTTGGGCCTTAGAAGGGCGAGAGTCGCTTAGGGTTTGGGGTTTAGGGTTTAGGGTTTGGGGTTTGGGGTTTAGGGTTTAGGGTTTAGAAAAATGCACGCCCCCAACAAGAGATTTTGCATGGTAAGCCGGGAAAGCCTACAGCAACCCTACCCTAAACTCTAAACTCTAAACCCTAAACCCTAGACCCTAAACCCTAAACCCTAAACCCTAAACCCTAAACGAGTTGCCGGCGAGGGTGGTGCGCTTTGGTCCGCAAGCGCTGGAAGGCTTCCGGCCGGAAGCCATGGTACTTGCTGAACATGCTCCCCTGTATTCCCCTTGGAAATTGTTTTTTTTCTTTTTGTTTATACAAAAGAGGATTTTATACATGGTGTTTTTTTTATTAAACCCTAAACCCTAAACCCTAAACCCTAAACCCTAAACCCTAAACCCTAAACCCTAAACCCTTGGTGTTTTTTTATTAAGGTTCTAAGGGGAGTATACTCCCCAGATCGTCTTGAGAACGCAGCTTTGTAATTTATGTGCGGCTTAGGCGCTTGAGTTTGGAGCCGAAGCTTTGGCAATCTTTGGGTTTAGGGTTTAGGGTTTAGGGTTTAGGGTTTAGGGTTTAGGGTTTAGGGTTTAGGGTTTAGGGTTTAGGGTTTAGGGTTTAGGGTTTAGGGTTTAGGGTTTTAGGGTTTTTGGCCTAGGCCTACTGAGCCAGCAAAGGCTTAGGGTTAACAAAGGTTCAAGCAAGCTCCAACCAAGTGCTGCCAAGAGGCAAACTTTCACCGCTCGCGCCAAAGCCAAAAACGACCTGTAGCCTCTTTGAGGGCACGAAAACGCGACTTAGATATTCCATCCCAGCACTCAAACCACTTCCACAAAGCCCACAGAAGTGACCGTAAACCCTAAACCCTAAACCCTAAACCCTAAACCCTTGAAAATCAAGCCCAGGGAGCGGTGGACTGTGTAAGATGTCTGCCCAAGGCTTTATGCCAAGGAGGGCACGCCCTTGCACTCCCTGGCCCGAACGCTGGTTCGCCTCGAAGATGCTTTGCTGATTTCGGGGTTTAGGGTTTAGGGTTTAGGGTTTAGGGTTTAGGGTTTAGGGTCTCTCTGTTTCGGGCTTCTAAGTGTAGCCTGCACTAGGAGTTATGCAGTAAAGCCTGGAATTACGGCAAAGGTTCTGCCGCAGAACGTTCGTTGAACATCTCACTGGCATTTGTTGAGTTTGACCTCTTTCTTCCCTTAGGATGTTCCCCCTTATCCTAACAGTCCTTAGTAGGGAGTCTAATCGGGGGTACTATAATCCCTATCAAGGGCTGTTCGAAAAAAGGGGAACATCCCAATTTTTCCCCTTGCTGATGGGGAACCCTAAACCCTTAACCATAAACTTTAAACCCCAAACCAAGGATCTGTCCTTCATCTTGGCCTGGACGGAGCAGGACCTGAAGCCTTTTGGGTTGCTGGTATCGGTGTTTGTGTTAGGGGGTTGAGAAGCAGTGAGAATCAAAGAAAAAATGCAGGGCTTTAGGGTTTCAGGGCTTTAGGTTTTAAGGGCTTTAGGGTTTAGGGCTTTAGGGTTTATAGGGCTTTAGGGTTCAGGGGGCCCTGAGGGGCCTTTAAGCGGCCCTGAAGCCGAAATTCACATCGATGGAAGGACCCCCGACAGTTGGGAAGCAATGCGGGCCGCGACCCATCCATCCACCTGATCGAGGCTTTGTCTGGTTTTTCCGTTTCCTGAACAGCAGCAGGGTCCCAGATATCTACAGTCTAAAGTCTAAAGCCTGAGCCCCATTTACATTCAAGCTCGGTTTTTGCTGTACATCCATCACAAATTTTTGAGGCGAATGTGAATTTGCAAATAGATGTTCACTGGTAAAGATCTAACTTTACAGCATGATTTTTTCATGCCATATCACATCATGTCAGCAAAGTCTCGAAACAGAAGCTAAGTGAAATTGGATACATCGAAGTTTACTAAAAATCTGAGAAGCGCAGCACAGTTCCCATAGTCCTTGGGGACGAAATGCCCTAAAAGGGTTTATGGTTCATAATACCTGAATAGGAATTATAAAAGTCATGGGTATATGACCCCGATTTAGGGTTCATTTGGTCCCCAAGGGTGAGGATGTGTTTTCATGGGAGCTCCGCGCCACTAAGGAGATGCCACGTCTCCTTTTGTCTTTCGCAGTGAAGAAGGCGCCCGACGGTACGCGTGGCTGCTGGGCTTTAACACTTCAAACAAGGGTTCTGAAAGAGCAGGGGGTTATACGGGGTTCAGCCGGAGCCGAACCCTGAAGAATTATCTTCACGGCCCCTAAACCCTAGCCCTAAACCCTAAACCCTAAGCCCCAAACCCTAGCCCTAAACCCTAAGCCCTATAAACCTCCAGGTCTATGGAGTTTGGACCATGCGGAGCTGTCCGTGCCGCTTGGGCCACCCACGTTCGCACGGACCCAAGCAGCGAAGTTGCTGGAGCCAATGCCCCACTCACTGCTGCTGCAAACGGCGAACGCGCAGTTCTTCGCACTTCTGCCCAACATCAAGGTGGGGGGTTTACGACAATAGGGGGCCCCCTAGGTAGACCCCCACATATTAGTAGGACTCCCCAAAAACCACCGGGTGAGCCGGATCAATTCTTTCTTGCGCTCCTGGGGTCGCTGGGTTTCGAGTCGTGGGCTCTTGGTGATTCCCTTGGGGACCAAATGAACCCTAAAAGGGTTTAATAGGGGCTATGGTAGTAAAGGGTATAGGACCCCCAATTAGGGTTCATTTGGTCCACAAGGTAGCATTATATTCTGCGCAAGTCTTGATTTTTCGCTCTTGAGGTGCACAGGCCTCATGTGTCCACGGACCCCTTCTCGACAGAGCTGGTGATGGAGCGTGGAAATGAAGATTGGTGGGGAGCAGCGAAGAACAAGACCTTCTTGTATCCCATCCATGCTTCTCGTTCCTTCCTCCAGACGCCTACCCTTGCTTCAGCGTTGTACATGAACTCTTGAGCGTGAATTGGCATTGCTTTTGCTTCTCTTTGTTGTAGCCCAGCCTCGACTGATTCAATCACTATGAGCTCCGGCAAGATCTCGGTACGAGGATGTTCCCCCTTACGCGAACAGTCCTCCATATGGAATTATAGTACCCCCCCCCCCCCCCCCCCATATTAGAATCCCAATTAAAGACCGTTGATATGAAGGGAACATCCCAAACCCTAAAACCTAAGCCCTAAACCCTGAAGCTAGTAAGATGTTGCAAGGATGATGCTGCGCTGGATGCATCGGGACTACCGTGGCGTCGCCGGCTTGGTTTCCGCCGTCGGAACGGACAGCAAGTTCGAGGACGATGAGATGCAGATCTTCAAGAGCTTGGGCCGTACCTTGAATTGGTTTAGGGTTTGGGGTTTAGGGTTGCTTGTGCCCTGGGCCCCACCGAATCTTCACTAGGAGCAACTCTCCTCCCCTAAAGAGGGAGCAGTCCTGGATCCCTTTCAAGGGCCTTTGTGGGACCCCGCAAAAAAACAGGGTCCCGCATTCTCAGAGGTTCATGGCAGATGTTCTGGGCCAAAGCCTTTCGGGTTTAGGGTTTAGGGTCTAGGGTTTAGGGTTTAGGGTGAATCTCGCGACATGAGTGTGCTGAGCGATACGTGACAGCTATGTTGGTGCACTGCATGTGCCTCCATCAATATGGTGGAGGTGAAAACCTGGCTAGACTTGAGTCCAGTAGCAAAAGGGTGAATCAGGGCTTTGGCAGAGATTCGAAGAGAAGGGCTTCGGGGTTAAGGTTTCAATGTTGGGATGTTCCCCCTTCTACTAACAGTCCGTAATAGGGATTATAGTACCCCCTTATCAATAATAGGAATCCCTATTAAGGCTGTTAGTATAAGGGGGAACATCCCAATTGACTTGCCAGTCTAGGGGCTCTCCCATCCCAGGCATCACGGATCCACACCCTGATTCCCATGCGAATCGCTTGCGGGTGTCCCTCGCCGTAGCCGATGCGAACATGGAGCTGCCGTGGGATCTTCTGCAGGACCACGGAAAGCATGGCTGGATGTTTGCGACAAAAACACAGCAAATTCTGCAACTCAACACAGGCCGTAGCCAGCATGGCGAATCAATACATCTAAACCCTAAACCCTAAACCTTTGTGAGAAACCCGATTCCCTTCGCCCTGGCACTGCGGAGAGGAGACAGCGGGGTACCTAGGCAAGCTTGCCCATGTCACCGCGAGGCCGGTATGGAGAGCCTAGGGGCGTTGAGGCTGTGGTAATGTAGGGGTCGGAATAATTACTAATGGTATTCCCTGATGGTCCCTTTACGTAATGAAACTCGAGAAGCCCCCAAAACCCTATTGTAACCCTAAACCCAAAACCCTAAACCCTAATTTTGGCTCAAGCCTTGTGCTCCAGCTGGGGTAGCCACAAGCCATTGGCCAGTAGGCACACAGAGTGCTCTGCAGACAGAGGAAAGAGCAGTCCAGCTGCCGCACCTGAGGGCGGCTGGAGTGCCTCTGAGGTGACCTACAAGGGTGCGCACACAAACCTAGATTTGTGTAAGGCAGATGGATGATGAGCCGCACCGGCCACAGCTCCCTCCTAGTTTTGTGGGTAGCTTAGCAGATGCAATCCAGGGTGTAGGCACCGCTCTGAAGGGTGCTCCTGTCACTGGGCTTCCTGCAACAGGAAGCAGCCTCCATGGGCAGATTGACAATGCAGCCTACACACAGTACCTACAGCACTTGACAAGCGGCACCCTGGCTGGCATGACATCTATGAGCACTCAGCTTGTGAAAGTGCTCTCTCAGAGCTATGAGTATGCCAACCAAGTAGAGGAAGCTCTCATGCAGTCAGCTGAGCCGCCGGTGTCTAGTGCCCACATTGCAAGCTTCGTTGGGACAACAACCATAGCTGAGGGTGAGAAGCCAGAAGTCACTCCTGACAGCACCAACTTCAAGAAACATCTCCAGCAAGGTGCTGCCAATATGGAAACACTGGCTGAGACACTCTTGCAAGGGATCCAAGGAGCAAGGCTTGGGCAGAAGATGGGACCACGGGGGCTAGCACAAACCCCTCCAGCCTGCACTGGGCGTCCATCAAGCCCAAGCATAGCAGAGCCTGACCTAGCCAAGCCCAGCAAACAACCCACAAAGAAGAGAGCAAAGCCTGAAGGGATGCGCAATGTCTATGACAGGGTGCGCTTCATCCTTACAAGCAGCCAAGCTAGAGCAGGGCGGACAGGGACAAGCAGCCAAAACACAAGCACAAAGCACTGGGCACTTACTGCAGGGGTGGGCATTCCTGTCATGGGTTTGCCTCTAACCAAGCGTGCCTACTCAGGCCTCCAGGCATGGATCTCTTTAGGTGTTCAGGCATGTGCTAACCTCACTCGGCCATGGCTGCTGCGTGCAGAAGCAAGAGAACCCCTTGGCACTTAGATGGCATCCCAGCCGGGACAGGTTGCTTGACAAATGCAGCAGCAGCAACTGAGCGGTTAAAGGAACATGGTAGCCGGGCTGCACAAGTGCACAAGCTGCACATGGCTGAAGAAAGCTGCCAAGTGCTTCTCCCGCATGCCAATTTGTAATACAGATCCAGCTGCCAGCGGCTGCTGGGTGTTGAAGATGGAGCGTTTCTCTTTCCCCGGCTTTGCCGGCCTCTTGTGTCGAGCCTTTTTGCACGCCTCCTGCAGTGGAAAGCCAGTGGAAAGCAGGGGACATTGCAGTTGTGGAATTAGAAGCACAAGAGGTGCTCTGCCCTGGTTCTGTTCTCCCTTTTTGGAGTCAATGTGCTGGCGCATGGAGCAAAGCGTGACTTGCTGGAGCCCCCAAAGGCAGCGAGCCCGGACCTTTTGGCTGAAGATGCTGCAAGGACGTCAGCTCTTGTTAGGTGGCTGGCAGACATTTGTGAGCTAGGGCAAGCATTTTATGGCAGGCCTGGCTCCTTGTGTGTTTGTAACACCGAGCTTGAGGGTGAACCTCTGGAGTGGTTCCTGGACACCTTGCCTGCAGACATGCTTTGCACTGTATTCACATACAAGAGCCTTTCTAGCTCTGCCACAGGCAGCTTTCAACAGCTAAGAAGCAGCCACCCTTCAAAGAAGCCTGCCAGGGAGAGGTCTCTCCTCGAGCGGCTTCAGGAAGTGAGGCAGCCTCGCCAAACGAGAGGGGGGAGTGAGCGCTACAAAGAGCAACTCTCACAGAGAGAAGCCGAGCTGTTGCAGAATGCACGCAGGGCCATGGGTTGGACAGAGCTGGCTCATGACACATTTCCAGTGAGCTGGACAGCAGGGCCTTTTGTTGTGTCTTGGGTGGACTTGTGCATCACCCGAGTAAACATAGCCCCGTCTGAGCCTCCAAGCAGTCCTTCTTCTGAAGACAGTGAAGAGCCCCTATGGCTGAAGAGAATGGCAGGTGCTTTTGCCTTAGGGCCTGTCCCACATGTTCTGCGCCCTGCTCTTGACAGCAGCGCACAGCAGGCTTTTGACAGCACAGGCGCAGGCTATTGGCTTTTACACTGGAAAGGCATGGTGCCTAGGGCCACAGCCGATGAGCATGCTACATGCCATGCAACACACATTAGTGCCGCACTGTCACACCACCACAACCTGCCTCAGCCAAAAAAAACCCTATGTATTTAGGCCCCTACATGACAGCAGTTTACGTGTTGGGCGGACCTGGGCCTTGCGGCGTTCAGGCTTCAGAAGGCTGAATCGGGGAGAGAAGAACTGCAAACTTCCAAACACACAGAAGCGGTCAGAATTAATTAATTGGGTTTAGGGTTTAGGGTTTAGGGTTTAGGGTTAAGGGTTAAGGGTTTAGGGTGGGACCTGGTAGGAAAGCACTTTACGGAGACAGCTCCTGAGCCTGTTGGCTGGCCATGAAGTGCGAACCTAAAGAAGCTCCGAGGCCCGCACAACAACTTACTTTTTTTCCCCAGGATGTGCCTTTTATAGGCACCAAAAACCCTAAACCCGAAACCCTAAACCCTAAACCCTAAACTCTAAGTCCTAGATCCAGAAAGTTTCCAGAATCAGGTCCCGGCTTTCAGAAGAGGGAGAACTCCGCACACTGGAGCTCTGCTTCCTGGCTTCTTCTGGCATGTGCTTGAAATTTGGCTGCGGGTTTAGGGTTTAGGGTTTAGGGTTTAGGTTCCCTAAACCTAAACTGTACACCCTTGTCAGGGATCCTTAGGCCACGGATCCCTTTTGAAAACCCAGAGAGGTTCGAGACTGAAAGCCCTGAGAGTCCTTGGCCGCGCTATAGAAAACAAGAAGCCCAGTCTGTTTGTTGGCTAGACATTGAGATGTCCCCCCTTACACTTACAATCCTTAGTAGGGATCATAGTACCCACCATTATAATCCCTACTAAGGACCTTTAGCATAAGGGGGAGCATCCCACGCTACACAGCCCGTTGAGAAAGCCCATCAAAGTCAGGTGCATTTGCCCTTGAAAAGCGAGTGCGGACATTATGCCCTTGCCTGCAGAAGGGTTTAGGGTTTAGGGTTTAGGGTTTAGGGTTTAGGGTTTAGGGTTGGAAACCTGCAGAAGGCTTGTGGAAGGTCTGTGGAAGCCGTGCGGGAAGTTTGGTTCGGAAGCCCCGCGTCCCTCCCTGTGCAGCAGTGGCACAGTGTTGGGAAGTTTCCCCTCCCTCTCTGTCCAAAGTTCAACAAGTGCGAGCAAGCAGCGCACATTTCGCCTGCCCACAGCACGATCGCCCGCCAAGATCTCACAGGCTTCTGGCACTGCAATCATGGACTGTCTATAGGCTTGAGGTGCCTAGATACAGGTAGTAAACACGGCTGAGGACTTGGGTGTTCAAGTAGGGCTCAAGGGCTCTGAGTCAGTGCTGAAGGGGCTTGACGGCAACATGGCTGAGGTACCCAGATCCGCAAGTGTCTGGAAATCATCCAGAACGAGGCCGCCACCTTGCGAAGTGCGCACACAAAAGATGGTGGGTGAAAGGGAAACTTCAACTCTCTACGTTAGCGCAATTCAATACTAGGTAGGCCCCTGGGACATGTTGTTTTTCCTTGTTTTTGTGTTAAGAGGGTCATATTCAAGAACCTGTTTTAGAGGGTTTTTAAGGGCCATCCTAGATCTTGCCACTCGAAGCAAGCTGAGCGCGAATTTAACCCTTGGCCCGTTTCACTGTCGCAGATCGAGCAGATGCGCCAACGATGGTGGGGTGTCTTGGAGAATTGCTGCTAACGCCTCCCCCTTATACGAACAGGTCTTAGCAAGGATTATAATAGAGGGTGCAAGAATCCCTATCAGAGGTTAGTACAAGGGTGAACATCCTAGCACTATCTCTTTCCGGGGTTGGGCTCCCATACTTGGCGAACAAGATCGGGAGGAACGGTCGACGGGCGAGGCGGGGAAGGACAACCGGGAAGAGCAAGCTCGGGTGGACAGCTGGGTCAACAGGGATGACAGGGGCGGGGGGGG